TTATCTCTGTTATGCGGAATTGCGGAATGGTATTTACAGTTTCACCGATTTTATCCATACATTCCCTTTCATGCGTTTTTTTTTAAATACCAAAAATATTAATTTTGATAATTTGATATAATTTTAATTTTAGAATTTTGTTTCATATATCACCTATGAAGTTTTCACTATTGAAATTTGATGGAGACATGGGGTTATAGAGTGTGATGTTAACTTTCAACCTTGATTAAGAGTCTTAACAGTTCTTATTAAGAAATGATAAATTGAGGCAGCTAATATAGAACTAGATTCTTAAATAAGAACTTAAAATAACTAAAATTAATAGAAAATTTTTCAATTAAATATAAAAATATGTATATATACAAGCTCAAAATTAATATGTTTGTTACCAATGTTGTAACGTATCCAGGTACAAGACGTAAATTAGTAAGTAAATACAGTTTATTCCAGTAAACTAGTTACTAGTTAACAAGTTAAAAATTTTGAGTAATTTGGCGTGTTAAGATACAAAAATAAAATGAATACCTGCATTTGGACTACTATTTCATTTTTCTCTGGGACACAATTTTTGCAATTTTACTACTATAGTAAGTCGACAAGTTTCTAAATACCCAGTGTTGAAGCAAAGTTTTTAATTATTTATAACGTAAATGTATAATTTTAAGTATAATTTAAGCAGGCTTATATTGCCACTCCCACTTTAGAGGCAAACCAATCATATGTCTAGTAGCGAGGGGGGTTAAAACCACCCGAACTGTTGGACGAGAATCGCGCAGACACAATCATCAAGCAGCATTGAAACACACGAACAGTATCGACTACCAAAATTGATCGCCTATGATCTAGTTTTTATTTCACTTGTTTAAATAGTTTTAGTTATGTGTAAATAAATATCTACTTAAGGTAGTTGTCGTGGTACAATATTGTCAAAAATTTTGTGATTATACGCACAGTAAAAGTACACGAGCTTGTAGCTAAGTGAAGTCATAATTTTTTCGCAAGACTGTACCCTTGGTATGCTCAACCAATAGATAATATACTATATTGGAGACTGAATCAGTCTGTTTGAATTTACTGCGCAAATAATATCTATACTCGGGTACAGCGTTGCCAAGTTGTTTTTATCTGACTCACTATTATGTATATATTTTACAAATTGTTGAACTTTAAGCGGTTATTTATAAACCATTGGATGGTCAAAAATGTTTTTAAATTTTTTTTAAACTCAGCAAAAATACATTAAAAGGCTGTTAGTTTTTTTAAAGCTTCTGACAGTTAGTTTTTTTTATAACAAAACTACAGAAAGTGTATACAATTCATATTAATTATCCAATTTTTAAAAGAATTAATCTCGGGTTATAGACGGTCAATCGACTTCAAATTTTAAGGATAATTGTATTGTCATGTCCTTAATAAGTATACAAAAATGTATTGTTGTTTTAATCAACATTACAACAACATCAAACAAACACAAGCATCATTTTATGGTCCTTCGAGCAACAATATAGCAACAAATACCAAACAATAAACACCAAGTACATTTCCAAAATATTGAGAAAAAAGTTGGTAGCTGTTTACTTACATTATTATCATAATAACATTTACCTTAAAGTTCCTGAGTGTTTTTCACTTTTATCATCTAATATATCTTCAATGTTGACAGTACCAAAACTTTGCGCTAGTTTCTCTAGCCGTGTAAACAAACTTTAGATTATCGAGGGTGGGTGTGTACTGGCATCGGAAAAGTTTATGTAGAGATTGTACATAATACTGGAGAAATTTTGTGTATTTATGAGACCCCGTGTAACGCATGTACAATGTACATTGTTCATGTATGTATTGTAGTCGATCTATTCGGATTGAGATTTTATTAAAATTTATTTTAGCAATTTACCGGCTTTTAAAGACTTAAATTATGAATACAAATTTTAGAATACAAGTAACTCCATGCAAGTTTAACGGTTAAATGTTCTTTTTATCCAAATTGTTTTGACATTTGGAGTATTATGCACTTAAACTGCGCTGTTTCTGTTTAACATGAAAAAAACCGCTCTGCATTTTTCCTATTCAAAAAACGTTGTAGTTTTTCTCAATTATCGGCAATTTTTCTTCCTCAATCATTCACTCATGTTTTTAATAAAATACTCCAGATGACGATGTAAAAAAAATAACTGAACCTTTTAGTATATTTCATTATTCAATTTGGAAAATAGTGTGTTATAATAATAGAAGAGTAAGCATTTGGCTAAAGTCTTTCTTTATGTTTGATATTTTAATAGGTAGGTTTCAGGATTGTTATACAGTTAAACTGCTCTATTATAATAGACCAGTTTAACTGTATAACCATCCTGATGCAGCTAAATGGTTACTCTCTTAATATTATAAAACATTATTTTCCGAATTAAATGAGCATAATAATAATAATAATAGGCTAAGAACGTAAGACATACACTCAGAGGAAAAACCATTGGTCAAAAGAAAAACAAAAGGAAAAAAGTTTTGCAAATCACACTTGAAAAATCGAATTTCTTCAAGCTGCTTTCATTTAACAGAACCAAGGTATTTTTGCAAACCAAGCAATTAAAATATCTAAATCCCTCTACGTAAATAGAACAAGTTACTAAAACTCCATTTGTTCGTGGCTATCACGCTACAGAGTAGGTAAATAAACTTGTAGCGTTAGGCTTAGATCTTTCCACTTGAAGACGATCAGAGAATATTCTGATAGAAACGTATGAAATAAAACAAAAAACCGACATTTTTGGTTTTATTTAATAATGTTTAAAATATGGAAAAAAAATTTAGTACACGTTGAAGAGTTTAAAATATTTTTTCTACTCCCACCTTTAAAACCCCCTTTATCGTACATGTTTCCATGACACTAATTTTTAAATACACATTGACAAGTTGTGGCTTTATGGCGCTTTAGTCACGGGCTGAAGTTATCAACAGGTTTTTAGTTGTCAAATGTCATACAATCGTTAAAATAAAGTGCCTTTCTTGTAAAATATCAACGCCAATATTTGAAAAGTTTATATGAACATTGTTCTGACCTTTTAATTTCGCCGGCAGTAAACTATAACTTAAATTCGGATACGGACTCCACTGTAAAGTGCTCATAAAACATTTTCTTTACTTTCACTGTGAAAAACTGTAAATTTTCAAGAAATACATTTCAATTTATAACCTCTATAATCTGTGTTTATAAAATATTTTAAAACGCCCATTAACTTAATTGTTTTTATTATCCTAAGTAATATTTTAAATACACATTAAGAAGCTGTAATCCATGGCGTTTTTTAGTCAGTGGATGAAGTTAGCAAAAGTGGATTTCGGTCTAAAGTTAGCTTAAAATTAGTTGACAGTACCAATCTTGTAAAATAATACGAAATGTGAAATTTTTTTTTATTATTTCAATAAAAAAATACAAAATTAATAAATAGTTTCTTTCAAAAGTTTATATGCATGTTTGTACTGACCTTTTAATTTCACCGGCAGTAAGGTGTACCCATAAAAATCCTCTTCACTTTCACTGTGAAATATACCGCTTTGTTAAAAAAATGGCGAATGCGCCAGGGTTAAATATTAAATAATATTAATAACACTAGTAAACAATAAAAAAAGGTCGGTAATTAAAATAGCACTCTCCTATAGATTTTGACCTGCTCGACGCAAATCCGGTGACCAAAAAATTTTCCAAAGTCTCGTTTAGACGATACGGGCAGCACCATGATGCAAAAAAAAATGTTAAATAATAGCGATAAAAATTAGTAAATAAAAAAGGTCGGTAATAAAAATAGCACAGTCCTATAGATTTGCACCTGCTCGACGCAAATCCGGCGACCAAAAAATTTTCCAAAGTCTCGTTTAGACGATACGGGCAGCACCATGATGCAAAAAAAAAATGTTAAATAATAGCGATAAAAATTAGTAAATAAAAAAGGTCGGTAATAAAAATAGCACAGTCCTATAGATTTGCACCTGCTCGACGCAAATCCGGCGACCAAAAAATTTTCCAAAGTCTCGTTTAGACGATACGGGCAGCACCATGATACAAAGAAAAATTGTTAAATAATAACGATAAAAATAAGTAAACAAAATAATTTGAACGATAAAAAACAGTAAACATCAAAAAAATATGCCTTAAATTTTTACAATATGTATACAGAATATATATATATATATATATATATATATATATATATATATATATATATATATATATGTATACAGATATGTTGTTCATGGAATCCTGAAATATAAGTTAAAAGTAACGTCATCCTAAAATTTTCAAATGGTGTATCTATGCAATAAAAATACTGTGTTCCTATTTTTTATTTAAGACTTCAGAAAAAAATTTTAAAAACATTTTGGATCTATTTCAGTCATAAACAATCGAAAAATTCTATTTTTAACCAGGACCTTTTTTTTTAAGTTAAAATTTGTTGCCTAGTGTAATCAATGAAATGATGAATGTTATTTTGTTTGATAAAAATAAATTTTATTTAAAAAGGTGTTTATATTTGTCACAGGTCATTTAAATTCAAAATATAAAAACAAATAAATTTAATTTCCTGGAAATATTTTGTTTGATGTTTGTTTTATTTAAATTTTGTTAAAAGTTCATTTTTTTAACAAACTAACGTATTTTTGTATTATTTAATGGAAATAATTTGATTTTTAGAAATAAAACACGCATATAAAAAATATGTCACATTTTATTTATGATTAATTTTCAGGTATTTATTTTTACATAAATATTTTGCAGATTCTATACATTTTTCTAAAGCAAAAAGTCAATGCTTTTTAATAAAAGTATGCTTAGTAAAAATAAATTAAACAACAATAATTGAATATTAAAATGTGTTAGGTAAAACAAACAATGTTTTGTTAGTTATTAAAAAACAATATATGATATGTTTGATAGTAAATATCTAAGTTTATTTCTATAAAAAAAATAAGAAACTTTTAATTAATTTTAGTCAAAATGTAATATTTTAACCTTAAAACATTAAAAAAGTCAAGCAAAATTAAATATAATAATTACTTTATGCTTTTTTAATTAATTCTAACTCTTTAAATTCCATCCAAACATTTTACACCCTATAAATTTATTACACAGAATCTGGAGCTGGTTCCCACGTCAACAGCTGCAAACTCGTCGACTTACTGACGCTGGACGTGGCCACATTTCTGCCGCCGACGTAGCTGGGCACGTGCCTGGCTGCCCGCGATTTGATGCTTTTAGTGTACAGCTTCAGCACCTGACAGTTGCAGGTTACCAATAGAGCGATTAGAACGCCCTGGATGCCTTGAGCGACGTGGTACGAGATCCATATCATCTCGTTTTTGTAAAGTTTGCTGGCTGCGCCCAGAGACAGGACTGCACTGAGGACGAACATTATCTGAAAGAAATATAGGGATGTTGTATTTTCATTGCTTTCTTTATCCTATTTTATTTATAGGAAATAAGCGTAAGAACTAGAAACAATAATTAATAAAATATACTCTAACAAATTCTGCCGTACTAAGCGCAGAAGCGGTAACAGCACATTTAAAGGAAATTGACATTTTCCCGTAATATGAAACTAGGCTTAAAAATCTCTACTTTAATAAGGTATTAAATCGGTATTTTGTCAGTAAATGATTGAAATATCAAGTTATTTTTAGCGGTATCTGTTACCAAACTGAGTTGGCAGAGCTATTAACATAAAAGTACCAATATCTCATGACAGCCATTATGTTTATTACCGCTTCTGCGCTTAGTACGGCAGAATTATAATGGGTGTTTAATGGGGTGCTTCAAAAAATAATATTTAATTTTTTTTTTCGCTCTTACCCTCTCAAATGTTTCTATTTAATATATGTTTTTATTTTACTTTCTCATTTAATTAACATGGGAAAAAATAATTTTATGTTTGGAATTTTATACCTCTGTATTAAAGTAACTTATGGCAATGATCATTGCAGTTGTAATGCTCTACAAAAAAGGTCTCTTATTATTTTTCGATAAATTGATTTCTTATAGAGTTATTCGAGGTAAAAGTTTGATTAACATAAAATTTTCTGTTTTTTTAATTTTATGATACAATTAGCAGACGGGAGGTGAAAGGGGGCAAAACAAGGCAACGGGGGGAAAAATGGGGTATCCAAAAAATTTCGTAAATTTTTTTTTTATTGTTTCTTTTTGGTTTCTAAATTATTTGAAAATATATTGACTCACAAGTCCACGCTTTTAATCGAAAATAATTATTCTGAGCCTGTAGAGCGAGAAAAAGGATGGTATAATTTTGGAAAACTTTTCATATGCTCGTTTTTCGGGTACCTCATTTTTCCCCCTTTCACCACCCGTCTGCTACCATAAAATTAAAACAACCAGAAAATTTGATGTTATCAAATTTTGACCTCGAATAACTCTAGAAAAGATCAATTTATCGAAAAATATTAAGAGAGCTTTTTTGTAAAGCGTTATATTTTATATAAGAAACTGCAATGATCATTGCCATAAGTTACTTTAATACAGAGGTATAAAATTCCAAACATAAAATTATTTTTTCCCATGTTAATTAAATGGGAAACTAAAATAAAAACAGCGTCCTCTTAGAGTTGAGCTGGGACGCCCATATTTGGTGAGGATTTTTTTTAATTAAATAGAAACATTTAAGAGGGTAAGAGCAAAAAAAAATTATTTTTTGAAGCACCCTAATGTTTAAGGTAAAAAAAATCCAGTCCAAAAAATACATTTTTATTTTTTTGTTTCAGAAATTTATAAAAAAATTAACAGGGTTTTTTTATAATAAAAAATGTTTGGTTTGGTTGATAAAGTATTTTCTGTCGGTCGACACATACAATTTGATGCGATTTTTTTATTATAAAGTAAAGATTTAATAATTAATCAAGGGCCTATTTTTTTACTCCCACCTTTAAAACGCCCATTATCGTACATGTTTCCATGACAACAGTGACCTTTATACACATTGACAAGTTGTGGCTTTATGGCGCATTAGTTACAGGATGAAGTTAGCAACATGTTTTAGTCACGGGTTGAATTTAGTTTTAAGTTAGTTGACAGTTGTCAAATATCATGCAATCGTTAAAATTAAGTGCTTTTCTTTTAAAATAATACTAAATGTAAAATTTTTATTATCTTAATACAAAAATACAAAATTATTCAATAGTTACTTAAATCCAATATTTGAAAAGATTATATGAACGTTTGTACTGACTTTTTAATTTTGTCTGAATAATGTACTATTTTAAGCTTTTGCATTTTAAAAGTTTATTTTTCTACTCCTGTTATGGAATATGACCGTTCTAATATCACTTTTACCTATGGAATGACATATATTTCGTAAAATGTTACAGAATGAAATATTTTATCATCTGATGACAGAATAAACACTCGTGGCGACATCTCTGTTTTTAATATCTAACAAATTTTAGACCGATCCAACGTCACTTTCTTCCAATTAAATTATTTGTCTATGTTTTATTTTGGAAACGTAGAAAAAGTATAGTCTGAAACACGTTTGGAATTGCATATTCCCCTATCGTGAAACCGTCAAACTCGCCTTCGGCTCGTGTGACAAACTATTCACTCAAGCGGAATATGCCGTATTCCTAACTTGTTACAGAATGTACTATTCTTGGTTATACATTTATTTAAGGCAATAAGGTGTAGGAGTAGGGTTACCAGATTCGGTCAAAAAAAATCGGAACATTTTGTGTGAATTAACCTTAATTACAAAAATGACACAATCAACAATAATTAAGTAACGCCAAACTTACAATTTGCATTGTATTATTTTGTCAATTTTGTGGTAACCGTACAGTAGGAAATATTAATAATATAAAAGTGTAAATTAATAGTTTTTTAAAGAAATGTTTTTTGAATTTGAATTATTAAGAAAATTTACTGAAAATTTAGGTTTAAACTTAAAATGGTAAATGACAAAATCTTTGATATATTATATCAAAGATTTTGTCATTTACCATTTTAAGTTTAAACCTAAATTTTCAGTAAATTTTCTTAATAATTCAAATTCAAAAAACATTTCTTTAAAAAACTATTAATTTACACTTTTGAAATTTCAAGGAGTAAATTGAGACAATTCAGTTTTAACCCCGGCGCATTCGCCATTTTTTAAAGTATAACAGCTGAACGGATTTTTATGAAATTTAATGTTTTTGGTCTTGAAACTGGCCCGAGATGGGACCGAAATGGAACGCAAATGGGACGGAAATATAACGGAAATTTTTCCTTACAACCATCCAAGCAAAAACAAAAATCGACGGGTAGTTTTTACTGAATTTATTAACGTTGTAAGATAAATCTATTTATATAAAAGGTTTAAAAAATTTTCAAACCGGTTTTAAAATTTTTTTTGTAATAAGTATTTTTAAAACAAACTGCTAAAAAATATATTTTAAACTTATTTAAATTGTTTATACCAATTTTAAATTTTAAATGTGATAATAAATAGGTACAAAATTGAAAAGAAAAAATGTAATATAATTTTTTTTATTTTTTAATGACCTTTTAATTTTAAAAGGAATTTAAATATAACAAAAATATTAATTCAAATAAAGCATTTTCTTAAAATAAATTAAATTTAAGAAGGTTACAATTTAAGGAAATATGTTTACATTAATTTTTAACTCGAATATTTGAACAATAAACATTCCAATCATTGTTTCCATGTTAAAATTGTGCTGTAAAACAAAATTAAAACCCCAAACAATTAATAAAACAAACACAACAGCACATTTTTGTTGTTTATAATGACGAATGGTATACAGTTAAATTGTGAAAGCTGCTGTTAAAAAGTCGTTTTTATCTAATTGGTGTAATTTCATTGTTTCATAATTTCCTTAATTAAAAATAAACAAATGAATATTTAGAAGGAAACAGGCGGCGCACATAGGTAGAATTCGGGGATTTAGGGAGACAAAAAGGGTTTATTTCAAAGTTAATTAATAAGAAAACTAATCCTTTCCGGGAAAAATAGAAAGTCCAAAGAACAATAGACGACCCCTTTCACGGTCCCAGCAGAACATGTGCGTTCCCAATAATCAGTCGAAACTTGACCATCGCGCAAGCTGCTTAAACTCGTTCTCGACACCCTTACAAACACTATTTTACAAAGTCATTTTTTAGTGAATGAAAGTTCAATTATTAAGTGAATGTGATGGATATCGACAATTCAGGTATGTTACTTATAATTCTTAAAGAAATACTATAATAAATGTCAATATTTCGCATAATTATAGCCTATTAAAGATACACCCTTTTTTAACATACTTTTTATACTTTTTTCAGTCTCAAAAGTAAAAATGTTACCTTTCCGGGCCCGTCCGAGTATTTTTTCTTTTTGTAATTGATAAATAATTTATTTAGCTAAAAACTGAGAAAAAATTACGGTCCACTTTGGTCCACTTTGCGAAAAATTCCACTTGAAAGTAATTTGGGCAGAAATCAAGAAATTTATAATTTACCTTAAAAATCTTATAATAGTTATTTAAGTGTCAAGCTTTGTAAATGAATCTTTACGGGCGAGCTGGAAGTTTGTGGGGTCAGCGATGCAGGAGCGAACCCCATAATCCAGTGAGCCTATATTAATTGCAAAGCGTGACACGTACAAACTTTTATTTTCACCTTTAGATAACGATTTTTAAATTAAAATTTTATTTGTAGAATCAAAACAATTTTAGAGGCCATCACAAGCGGCATCCAAAAGTTTGATGAGTATGCAATGGAAACGGCAAAACTGTACGTGGATTTGTATGGGTGGCTCCGTATGAGCCCCACAATGCATACAATTTTAATACACGGGGCAATAATTTGCGAAAATGCCATTTTACCCATTGGCCAGTTTTCAGAAGAAGCTGCCGAAGCCCGGAATAAGCATTTCCGGTCGTACCGCCTTAACTTTGCCGTAAATTTTCACGTGAAGAATGCAATATAGACATATATCACAGATTACTTATAACATCTGACCCTCTCATCAGTTCTTTGAGAAAAAAAAGAAAACAATTACAAAATCGTTTTCGCAGGAAACTTTACGACTTTTGGTTTCTGCAGAGCCGAACACAGAGTTAGCCTGTGATACATGTATGAAAAGCGATGACGAAGACATTTCATTTGGCTCGTAAATTACTTTAATTTTTATATGTGTAACTTTAATCAGTATTTATTATTAAGAATATGATTTTTTTAATTTGTGTTATATATTATGTTTATATTATGTTTTCAATCATATTTATGACTAATTACTTTTTGTTAAACTTGTTTTAAAATGTAAATTGCATAGTAAGAATTTGGAAATATAATGAATTCCATGTATTTACTACATCTTGTATCATTTACTTCCCTTAAATATTCACTGCTCTGTATCTCAAAAAGTAC